AATTGTTCTTTTCTTTCCAATCCCAATTGATGTGTAGCACAATTTTTAAACATGTCTTTCATTGTCTTTTGCCCCTGACAGATAAAGAAACTTATTCCTTTTTTTTTCAGGTGGAGTTTCACTCTGTCACCCAGGCTGGAGTGCAGTGGCACATTCTCAGCTCACTGCAACCTCCAGTTCAAGCAATTCTCCTGCCTCAGCCTCCCAAGTAGCTGGGCTTACAGGCGTGCACTACCACGCCTAGCTAATTTTTTTTTATTTTTATAGAGATAGGGCTTCACCATATTGGCCAGGCTGGTCTCAAGCTACTGACCTTGTGATCCACCTACCTCAGCCTCCCAAAGTGCTGGGCCTGGCCAAGAAACTTATTTCTTAATGAAAAAAAATAGTCTGGCTAGGCACGGTGGCTCACGCCTGTAATCCAAGCACTTTGGGAGGCTGAGGCGGGCAGATCACCTGACGTCAGAAGTTCGAAACCTGCCTGACCAACATGGAGAAACCCTGTCTCTACTAAAAATAAAAAAATAGCCGGGCATGGTGGCGCATGCCTGTAATCTCAGCTACTTGGGAGGCTGAGGCAGGAGAATCGCTTGAACCCGGGAGGGGGAGGCTGCAGTGAGCCAAGATCGCGCCATTGCACTCCAGCCTAGGCAACAAAAGCGAACACTCCCCCACCCCAAAAAAAATTAGGCCAGATGCAGGGTCTCACACCTGTAATCCCAGTACTTTGGGAGGCTGAGGCGGGAGGCTCACTTGAAGCCAGGTATTTGAGACCTGCTTGGTCAACACAGTGAAACCTCTTCTTTACAAAATTATTTTTTAATTAGCTGGGTGCAGGGCATGGTGGCTCACGTCTATAATCTCAACATGCTGGGAGGCCAAGGTGGGAGAAATGTCTGAGTCCAGGAGTCTAAGACCAGCCTGGGAAACACAGGGAGACCCCCACCTCTACAAAAACTACAAAAATTAGCTGGGCGTGGTGGTGCATGCCTGTAGTTCCAGCTACTTGGGAGGCTGGGTGTGAGAGGGTTGCTTGAGCCCAAGAGATTGGGGCTGCAGTGAGTTATGACCATCCCACTGCACTCCAGCCTGGGTGACAGAGCAAGACCCTATCTCAAAAGCAAAACAGAACAAAGTAGAAAGAAAAAAAAAAACTAAACTTTTATCAAGATGAAAACTATGACAAAGCATTGGAGACACTATTATTATGGTGCCTTTCCAAAAGAGAAGATGAAAATGGACTTAATCCATTTCTTACACCTAGTTTACTTTCAAAGCAGTATATGCCTTCACTTCTCAATCATTTATCAAATCAATAATGCTCAGCAAGTGACCTATACTTGACCTGCAGAATTGCTTTTGATCATCTATTCAAAATAAGTACAATGTAAGTAACTTAAACGTGTTTAGATTTTTGTAGCATTTCTGGGCTCCTCCCACAACCGAATGCCCAAACACTGGATTTTCTTTTCCCGGTCTTTCTTCCTCAAATTCTCTTTGCAAAAAAGACTAAAACATAAGGACTATAAAGGTGAAAGCCTTGCATTTTTAGAGGAAGATGGTTGAGTGGATTTTAAATTATAATTGACTAATTAAGATGTACTGAAAAATTAATTATACCATGTCAACAATATCAAGCATAGAAAAAAAGGGGAGCAACTCACCTTAAGCATTTTAAACTTAAGAAATTGGCAATCAGCCAGGTGCAGTGGCTGTCATGCCCGTAATCACTCACTTTGGGAGGCCGAGGCAGGTGGATCACTTGAGGTCAGGAGTTCAAGACCAGCCTGGCCAACATGGTGAAACCCTGTCTCTATCAAAAAATACAAAAATTAGTGGGGCATGGTGCCATGAGCTATAGTCCCAGCTACTCGGGGGGCTGAGACACAAGAATCATTTGAACCCAGGAGGCGGAAGTTGCATCGAGCTGAAATCAGATTGCACCACTGCACTCAAGCCTAGGTGACAGAGTGAGACGCTGTCTCAAAAAAAAAGTAAATTAGGAATAAAGACATTTGTAAACCTGTTATCATACAAAGTAACAGATGACCAAGTATAATTTCCAAAGAGTAGACCTATCACTTAGTCATCCTTTAAAATCTGTAAAATGAACATTTTATTTGTTAATTTCCATTTATATAAGGAAAAATATCACTCTCGATAGGCTTCTTTTCAGTGACATTTTCCAGAGCAGGAAAGCAAATTAGGAAAATAGGAAAATTCACTGGTTACAATTATAATGAATTAGTTGGGTACGAAAGACTCTTTATGGGGGGCAGGGAGCCAGGATTTTACTACGTTGCCTGGGCCGGTTTGAACTCAAGTGATCCTCCTGCCTCAGGCTCCCAAGTAGTTGGGACTACAGGTGTGTGCCACCTGGGCTAAAAGTCTATTAATTTTACTAAATTTTATTAAATCTAAGATGTCTGTACGGCCGGGCACAGTGGCTCAAGCCTGTAATCCCAGCACTTTGGGAGGCCGAGACGGGCGGATCACGAGGTCAGGAGATCGAGACCATCCTGGCTAACCCGGTGAAACCCTGTCTCTATCAAAAAATACAAAAATTAGTGGGGCATGGTGCCACGAGCTATAGTCCCAGCTACTCGGGAGGCTGAGGCAGGACAATGGCATAAACCCAGGAGGCGGAGCTTGCAGTGAGCTGAGATCTGGCCACTGCACTCCAGCCTGGGCGACAGAGCTAGACTCCGTCTCAAAAAAAAAAAAAAAAAAAAAAAAAAGTCTGTGATTATAAAACGCATTATTTCATGTAACACTAGGAAAAAAACTGCCAATTGAGCTATGGCATAATGCTTAGTTACGGTATCCTGTCTTCAAGGAAGAAGGAAAACCGACTGCCAATGACTACTAATGATAGAGGCAGGAGACAGACAAATGCCTAGGCAGATAGGGGCACATCCCCAGTGAAACCCTACCTCCAAGCCAAAGACAGTTTAAAGCCTGAAAGCCAAGCTACAAGTCAAATCCATGGACCAGGCTGAGAACCTGTCTTCCCGTTTGATGTGCTTTCTTCTGATTGATCCCCAACTTTCACCTATTTTACATATACTTACCCCTTTCCTAATTGGTTTTCTACACTGTCGTACCCACCTTTGAGTGGTGTCTTTGCTTTAACCTTGTTTTTTTTTTTTTGAGACAGGGTCTCACTCTGTCTGCAAGACTGGAGTGCAGTGGCAGGCTCTCAGCTCAATGCAACCTCTGCCTCCCAGGCTCAATCGATTCTTCTGCCTCAGCCTCCCGAGTAGCTGGGATTACAGGCGCACTTCACCATGCTGGGCTCATTTTTGTATTTTTAGTAGAGACAGGGTTTCACCATGTTGGCCAGATTGGCCTCGAACTCCTGACCTCAGGCAATCTGCCCACCTCAGCCTCCACAACTGCAGCAATTACAGGTGTGAGCCACCACACCCGGCCTTCCCTTTAACCTTTTTGCATACTCAGAAACCAATCAGCACACACTCCCCATTCTGAGTCCCTAAGAAGCCCCAGAACCAGCCACACTGGGAAAGAAGCCACCTGACTGCAGGGGTGGGGGACCACCCCTGAATGTCCTCTTCTCTGAGGCACTCAATAAAATTCTTCTCTGCCCTCCTCACCCTTCGAATTGTCAGAGTAACCTCATTCTTCTTGAACAAGGGACAAGGGTTTGGGAACCACTAAATGCGGGTACAAGCTGTAACACAAGTGGTCTGAGTGGGTGGAGGGTGGTGAGTGGCACATCACTCCTGTTGGCAAAGTGGTTCAGAAAAATCCAACATCACCAATAAAATAATCTTGGAGAGTAAGAATATCTATTATAATAAGTAGCCCAACACAGTTCCTAATCTGTTTGGGATGTCAAGATAAATCAAAGCTTTTAGGAAATATATGTATAACTAATAAAATGAAAGGCACCTCCAAAACTGGATCTTGAAATTAAAAGCCACTATTCAGTGGTGAAAATGATGAAAACATAAGTAAAGAACAATAGTTAACTCAGAAACAGCTAAGTCTTTTAGGAGATGAGAAGTTCACTTCACACTTACACAAAAGGCAGTGTAGTGCTACATTCCATCCCACCCGCTACGCTAACAAAACTGGCTCTACTAGACAACATCCATATTTGAGAAATATTACATACAGTAAAAGAAAAATCACATGCTTAAAACTGACAGAGGGAAAGTATTTAAAATTAATTCACATTAAAAAAAAAGTTGAGGCCGGGCGCGGTGGCTCAAGCCTGTAATCCCAGCACTTTGGGAGGCCGAGACGGGTGGATCACGAGGTCAGGAGATCGAGACCATCCTGGCTAACACAGTGAAACCCCGTCTCTACTAAAAAATACAAAAAACTAGCTGGGCGAGGTGGCGGGAGTCTGTAGTCCCAGCTACTCGGGAGGCTGAGGCAGGAGAATGGCGTAAACCCGGGAGGCAGAGCTTGCAGTGAGCCGAGATCCGGCCACAGCACTCCAGCCTGGGCGACAGAGCGAGACTCCGTCTCAAAAAAAAAAAAAAAAAAAGTTGAAAGCTAACATAGAATCAATACCTTGGGTTCTTTTTTCCATTTCCAAAACGAATGTGAGCCAGATTCAAAATTCTCTGTCAGCACTACACCAGGTTTTATCAAATTCACTGAACACAAGATTTTTTTAAGTCTCCAATTTGATATAATTCATGCTGAGTTCTTTAACTACTATTTGATATCCTAGTGATTTTTTATTACTTCCACTTTGGGGACAGTCTTGTGAGTCTCTTTTGAGAGCGTTCCCTCTTAAGCTTGTAAGATGCCTTTCCTCCAAATCTTACCATTTTCAGAATTTTGCTACAGACATATCAATTAACCAAAATCCAGCATCTTCAGCTAACTAAAAGTTTTGACACAACTTTTAGGGAAAGGTGCAAATCTCTAGTAAACAGGTTGACTTCAGGACTCCTCAAAAAAAGAGTCTGCTTATTCAGCAAAACCCAAGGGCCCAGAACAGGTCCCCACCCAGGCAGTCTTACCTGTAAGGTCACCAAGCTGGCTGTGGTGGCCAGGTCAATCTTCCCAAATTTGATGAGATTTCCAGAAGGGTTAAAAGGAACAGTGAACGGTTTCCTTTGGCTTAGGGGCTTTTCTCTAAAATCCTTCTCTTCTTCCCATCTGGTCTTTTCCCTCTGAACTATTAGCTTACTGCCAACCACCGTCACCACAGATATCACAAGAGTTTAGGCAAATGAAAAGCAAGTTCTACCCAGCCTTTTACATCTAAGGCACAACAGCCCATACTAGCACAACAAATTACCAGTAATGACTAAGGCACAGCATTCTCTTCAACTTCTAAAGAAAAGCCTGTAACGTCTTAATACAAGTGAAAAATAAGAGAACATGCTTTGGAATATTTTTGCTTCAATTTTTGAAGGTGAAGAGTTTCTTCTACTCAAGTTAACTAGAGTCAGAGACTACTACTTAGGAATCAAGACTTTACTGTGCTTTCACCTAAATTTTTTCCTCCAAATTATTTAGGATTTGTCTTCTGTTCAGAAAATTAGTTTCCATAGTACCCTTCACTATGCCAGAATGCTGACTTAATTAAAAAAATGGCCATTTTTAAAGGAAAAAACTAACCTTCAACTCCCCTTAATTCACTGCCTTTTATTATTTATATACAAATCTGTCCTCCAAACAGGAGAATATGGGACAGCAGTGTCTAATCACCGCATCCCCCACAGCTCCTCGCACGAAGCCTGGGAGTAGTGGGCATTCAATAAATGCCTATTAAACACTTCAGTCCTCTCTTAACAAGTTGGTGCATTCCAAAACACTGGCTCCACCCCTTCAGGGTCGGCCGCCGGCTCCCGATGGCAGTTTGCCTATGGCCTTGCTCTGGTGAAATCAAACCTCGTCGCTCAAGAAGACCCAGGATGGGGGCAAGGGAGCCGTCCGACCCCATCCCGCAAGGCAGCAGATCCTCTCTTCATTCCACCAGGCCGTTGGGCCTGAGGCCTTTCCCACCCCATTCGGGAACCTACGTAGCCAGCCAGAGATCCGCAGGGGTACCAGCTCCCGCCCCAGCCTGCAGACAGCCTGGCGTCGGGACACCGGGGACGCCTGCGCAGAAGAACCCGCCTGGCCCCTTCGCTCTGACGGTAACAATGCCCCCTCAGGAACACAGTCAGGGTAGGCTGGGGGCACCAGTACACGTCTGCGCGCTCCCCGACGCCTTGGCGCGCCCCTGGTGCTCAACCTTCCCCACGTGAGCGCGCCCGCCATCACGACACTCTCTGACGGGGTCTCCTCACCTGAGCCGGGCTCCGCCCCCCTCCTCCTCGCTGAAGGAGGCGGTGACCCCTCTCCGATCGGACTCGGCAGTGTCAGAGGAGGTGGGAACGTCCAGACCTGCGTCTCCGTTATGGGACTTCCTCCCCCTTCCGCCTGCCCCCCTCCCACCCCGCCTCTAGTACCCTAGCTCCTTCAGCCAGTTCTCCGCGGCACTCTGAGAACACCGCGGCGGCGCCTGAGGATAAACGGACGTGACGTAATGCAAGAGCGCCTACTCCGCCCTTTTCTCCTCCCCCGGTGGGGTTACAACCAATCAGCAACGGGGAGGGCGGGGCCGGGGTAGGAGTGCAGCCAGCCGGCGCGCGGAACCCGGAGGAATTTCTTTGGCCCCCAGAAAAACTGACCAATCCACGGTCCCTGGAGTCTGGTTGTGTTTACTACTGACTGATTCCGTGAGCTTTCTGACCAATCACCCTTTGCCTTACAACACGTACAACGGTTAACAAATGCCTTTTAGGGCGGGATTTATCACTAAACCGCTCCAGGTTTGGACTATAGAAATGCAGCTGTTCGCTGCAACCAATCAAAACCCTCTGTGGTTTAGGCAAGCGGGCTTTCCGCCTAATTCCGCCAATCATAACAACGACTGCGTGAAGTCTGAGGACGCCCGAGAGGCGGGCCCTCAGGGCAGCCTTACCGCCATTGGCTGGTCCTGAAGGATTTTTCCACCCACGTGGTGCCCGGCCCTTTAGTGACCCAGGGCTCTTCTCCCGGGGTGAATTCCCTTCGCTGAACACACACAAGTACGGGGTTGGAGATTTGAGTTCCCACTTCATGGATGTTGGGAAAGATAAGATTCCAAGAGGCTCTTTAGGTTGAACTAAGCCGAAGTCCAGGGTAAAAAGGGCGAATAAAAAAGGTCGGACCCCGCCCCTCGTCCAGCCGGGTGGCTGCGCGTCTGGAAACGGTGGCGCCACAGGAGCCTGGCGCGTGGCCCCGCACTGGGCCGCAGGTCATATAAGCCTGTCGTCTCCGTGCCCAGATTCATAATCACCCGCACCCCAAAAAACAAAATAGGAAGCGCTAAGCTCTCCCATTCATGTCCCAAACGTGGAAGGGTCGCGTACTTGTATGAGACGCGGTCTGAAAAGTGCGAGCGCCGGGGCGACGCTCGGGTTTCCAGGTGCACACTGGGAGAGAGAACCCGAGCCCTCAGCATCGGGCACAGGGGCCAGAGAAGAAGCCCCCTTTCTTCGGGTGAGGACGACAGAAAAAAGCTCCCTTCTCCTGTGCAGCTTCTCTGGGAGCGCTGCTTGGCTCTGGAGACAAAGGCAGGCTCGCGAACATGGCTGTGTTCTCCTCGGGGTGGAGGTTAAGGGTCTTGGAGGAGCTCCCATAAAAATGGAACTCCTGGCCAGGCGCGATGGCTCACGCCTATAATCGCAGCAATTGGGAAGGCTGAGGCGGGCAGATGGCCTGAGGTCAGGAGTTTGAGACCAGCCTGGCCAATATGGGGAAACCCCGTCTCTACTAAAAATGCAAAAATTAGGTGGCGGGCGCCTGTAATCCCAGCCAGCTACTCGGGAGGCTGAGGCAGGAGAATCACTTGAACCCGGGAGGCGGAGGTTGCAGTAAGCCGAGATCGCGCCGCTGCACTCCAGCCTAGGCCACAGAGTGAGATTTCGTTGCGAGAGGCGGGGGGGAGGAACTCTCCGCTTTACAGAATTGAACACACCGGATACCCCTACAGCTGATTCCATCCCTTCAGTTACCGGTCGGATGTGTTGATATCAAAAAGCAACCTGTTTGTATGGATTTCTTGAAGGCCTCGGTGGAGTCTGATGTTTAATTCTTTTCCTTAAGATTCGCTGACACTCTATAGCCATCACACATATTTTACTGCCAGATTCATTGGTAAAATAAAGAAAATATGGAATGATGACAGTAAGCCAGGCAATAGGAGAGATTCTTTTGCGTATGTGACTCTCAAAGGTAAATGCCATGACCTAGATTACTCAGATTTACAGGCTCACAAAACTTTTTAAAACTGTATATTCAGAACTTAGGAGTGTGTGGAAGTGGACACCTGCTATATTGTGGTCGGGAGTATCACTGATGCCCTGTTTGACTATCACTTCGTAGTATCTATCAAAATTTAAAACATGCGTTTGTTCCCTTCTAGCTGGCAATTCCTTTCTAGAAATATATGCTACCCAAATACAAAGATATGGAATAATAAACCCAAGGCTCTTTACCACAGCTTTGTTAGTACAAGGGGCGAGGGTGGGGGGAGAGGGGGAGTGGAGAACAAACCTAAATGTGCAACTAAAGATTACAAAAATTTGATAAGTATCGTGGCTCCTTCATGACTAAGGCTCCCATAGATGCAAAACGAAAGTAATAAAATCCTGCGGCCAGGCGCGGTGGCTCACACCTGTAATCCTAACACTTTGGGAGGCCGAGGAGGGTGGATCATGAGGTCAGGAGTTCGAGGCCAGCCTGTCCAACATGGCGAAACCCCATCTCTACTAACAAAATACAAAAATTATCTGGGCATGGTGGCGGGCACCTGTAATCCTAGCTACTCGTGAGGCTGAGGCAGGAGAATCACTTGAACCAGGGAGAAAGAGGTTGCAGTGAGCCGAGATCTCACCATTGCACTCCAGCCTGGAGGACAGAGCAAGACTCCATCTCAGAAAAATAAATAAATACATATATACATACACACTTACATACATACATACATACAGGTACCTGCATGCGGAGGTACACGTAAAAGTTTGTGAATGTATGGCTGGCTGAGTGTGAAAGGATACTATCAAATGTTCATAATGTCATTCAGGGAAGGAGTGGAGGTGGTGGTGAGACGTTTTAAGAGGGCCTCCTTAGGCCGGGCATGGTGGCTCACGCCTGCAATTCCAGCATTTTGGGAGGTCGAGGCCGGTGGATTGCCTGAGGTAAGGAGTTTGAGACCAGCCTGGCCAATATGGCGAAATCTCGTCTCTACTAAAAATACAAAAAATTAGCTGGGCTTGGTGGCGCATGCCTGTAATCCCAGCTTTTCAGGAGGCTGAGGCAGGAGAATTGCTTGAACCCGGGAGGCGGAGGTTGCAGTGAGCCGAGATTGCGCCACTTCACTCCAACCTGGGCGAGAGAGAGAGACTCCGTTTAAAAAAAAAAGAGGGCCGGCCGGGCACGGTGGCTCAAGCCTGTAATCCTGCAGCACTTTGGGAGGCCGAGACGGGCGGATCACGAGGTCAGGAGATCGAGACCATCCTGGCTAACACGGTGAAACCCCGTCTCTACTAAAAATACAAGAAAATTAGCCGGGCGAGGTGGTGGGCGCCTGTAGTCCCAGCTACTCGGGAGGCTGAGGCAGGAGAATGGCGTGAACCCGGGGGGGCGGAGCTTGCAGTGAGCCGAGATCGCGCCACTGCACTCCAGCCTGGGGCACAGAGCAAGACTCCGTCTCAAAAAAAAAAAAAAAAAAAAAAGAGGGCCTCCTTAATTTTTAGTTTTACAGACTGCTGTAGCAATTTAGTTCCTACAACAGGTGTTGTTACTTTAGTAGTATTTAGGAAAACCTGGAATTTCAGGTTGCTTAGATTTTCAAATCACTGACAAAATTATTCCTAAAGTAATCTATATATTTCCCCAAAAAGGTATCAATAAGATACTTCTTGAAATTAGACAACTAAGTTCTAAGATTCATAAGGGGAGATAATATTGAAAGAATAAGCAAGACAGTCATGGAAAAAGTAAGTTGGATATCTACCTGTGAGGCAGGGGAACAGGATCTGGAGGCAGTGACCTTCAGACCCACTGCTGCTGACTGGTTATCAGAGGCTACTTCCTTTTCACCCCTACCTTTTTCTGCGTGGCAATTGCTCCGTGGCAGTTGTAAGCCCTCCGTTTTCTGCCTGACAGTTGAAATATGAAAATACCGGCCGGGTGCAGTGGCTTGTGCCTGTAATCCCAGCACTTTGGGAGACCGAGGCAGTCGGATCCCCTGAGGTCAGGGATTCGAAACCAGCCCGGCCAACATGGTGAAACCCCTTCTCTACCAAAAGGAGAAAAATTAGCCGGGCGAGGTGGCGAGCGCCTGCAATCCCAGCTACTCAGGAGACTGAAGCAGGAGAATGGCGTTCACCCTGGAGGCAAAGCTTGCAGTGAGCCGAGATCACGCCACTGCACTCCAGCCTAGGCAACAGTGCGAGACTCCGTCTCAAAAAAGATAAAGAACAAAAATAAAAATAAAAAATGAGCCAGGTGTGGTGGCACATGCCTGTGATCACAGCTACTCGGGAGGCTGAGGCAGGAGAATTGCTTGAACCCAGGGGGTGGAGTCTGTGGTGAGCCGAAATCATGCCATTGCACTCCAGCCTGGGCAACAAGAGCGAAACTCCGTCTCAATGAATAAATAAATAAATAAATGTCTGCTTTCACTGCCTTGCTTTGTTTGTGTGCTTTGTCCAATTCTTCAAAATGGCAGAGAACATGGACAACTACCCTCAAGTGGTAACACCTGGCTTTTTACAACAAATTTAATATCAATTTAATCAAATATGATATTTTTTAAACTAACCCATAATAGCAAAAGAAGAAAACCTGGAACAATTTTTTTTTTTTTTTTTTTTTTTTAAGATAGAGTCTTGCTCTGTCGCCCAGGCTGGAGTGCAGTGGCATGATCTCAGCTTATTGCAACCTCCACCTCCCAGGTTCAAGGAATTTTCCTACCTCAGTCTCCCAAGGAGCTGGAACTCAGGGTCACACCACCATGTCCAGATAATTTTTGTATTTTTTGGTAGAGGTGGGGTTTCGCTATGTTGACCAGGCTGGTCTTGAACTCCTGACCTCAGGTGGTCTGCCCACCTTGGCCTCCCGAAGTGCTGCGATTACAGATGTGAGCCACTGCACCTGGCCAAACAATGTATTTTATAATCTTGGAGTAAAGTAGACGTTTTTAAACAAAATACAAAGCCTGAGAGAGAAAGTCTGATAAACGAAGCTAAACAATAATTTACATTTTTCAATTGTGCAAAAAATTCCATAATTGAAAGACAAAGAACAGAGAAAACTATTTGCAACATATAACATAGACTTAAAAAAAATTTTTTTAGAGACAGTCTCACTCTGTCACCCAAGCTGGAGTACAGTGGCATGATAGACTCACCACAGCCTCGACCTTCTGGGCTCAAGCAATCCTCCTGCCTCAGCCTCCCTAGTAGCTGGGATTACAGGCATGTGCCATCATGCCTGGCAAGTTTTTATTTTTTGTAGAGATGGGGTCTCACTGTGTTGCCCAGGATGGTCTCAAATTCCTGGGTAGCTGGGATTACAGGCATGTGCCATCATGCCTGGCAAGTTTTTATTTTTTGTAGAGATGGGGTCTCACTGTGTTGCCCAGGATGGTCTCAAATTCCTGGCCTCAAGCAATCCTCCTGCCTCAGCCTCCCAAAATGCTGGGATTACAAGCATGAGCCAATGTGCCCGGCCATAACATAGATTTAAAAGGCTAGGTTCCTTAATATATAAAGAGTTCCTGTATCTCAGTAAGACCAACAACCAACTGTAAAAGTAAGCAAAGGATACAAATAGAGAATTCATAGAACAGGACACAAAAAAGGCTCACACCTGTAATCCCAGCACTTTAGGAGGCTGAGGCTGGCGGATCATGAGGTCAGGAGTTTGAGACCAGCCTGATCCACATGTTGAAACCCCGTCTCAACTAAAAATAGAAAAATTAGCTGGGCGTGGTGGCACACGCCTGTAATTCCAGCTGCTCGGGAGGCTGAGGCAGGAGAATTGCTTGAAGCCGGGAGGCAGAGGTTGCAGTGAACTGAGATCGCGCCGCTACACTCCAGCCTGGGTGACCAGAGTACAGGGTGAGTCGCTTTATGGAATCTGACTAGCCTTTTCAGGTCTTTGTTAGTGTTATTCTGAAACACCAGCAGATGGAGATATTACCCCAGGAAAGGAAAGGAGGATTTTGCTTTTCTCCCTCTCCTTTCCCCCTCTGGAAAACCATTTTCCTTCTCTGAAAAATGATACTAAAAGAGAACTCCAGGTGTCTCTGAATTATTTCCAAACTAAATTTCCAAAAAAATATTATGTGTTAAATTCTGCCGTGATTATCCACGATTTGAATTTAAAAGAGGCCACTTGGCCGGGCGCAGTGGTTCACGCCTGTAATCCCAGCACTTTGGGAGGCTGAGGCGGGTGGATCACTTGAGGTCAGGAGTTCGAGACCAGCCTGGCCAACATGGTGAAACCCTGTCTCTACCAAAACTATAAAAATTAACCAGGCGTGGTGGTGGGTGCCTGTAATCCCGGCTACTCAGGAGGCTGAGGCAGGAGAATTGCTTGAATCCGGGAGGCGGAGGTTGCAGTGAGCCCAGATCACGCCACTGCACTCCAGCCTGGGCGACAAGAATGAGACTCTATCTCAAAAAATAAATAAATAAATAAATAAATAAATAAATAAAATAAAAAAATAAAAGAGGCCACTATAGGTTTTTGCATTTTGGTTAATGCCTAAGAAGGGCTCCCTCCATCCTGCCCCATCCCAGTTATACAGGCACGTATGTATATGTACATGGTGTGGTAGGTGTGTCTTTTGAATAACTGTTAAATAATTAAACAACACAGGGGTATAGTATGATCCCCTTCCCACCTACCCGACCATCAACACTTTGCTTCCATGGATAGAATATCTGTCATTTGGAATTCTTGCCTGTGGTAATTCTAGGAGTTTTTGCTTCAGTGGATGTATTGTACTCTTCACCTTTTCTCCTTGCTACAAAACAGTCAATCCTGGGGACTTTCACAGAATTTATCTGACTGGCAAAGATGTGCCTTAAAAGGAAATCAGTCTGGTACAACTGTGCTTCCTAAACTTCAAGTGCGCATGAATCACCTGCGGATCCTCATTCAGAAGATTTGATAGGGTTGGAGATCCTACATTTCTAACAAGTTCCCAGGTGATGTCAAGGCTGCTGCTTCCATGGACCACACTTTGAGTAACAAGGCCATACAATGTGTTCCTATATCACAAGGGACCAAGATACTTCTCTTAAGAATTATACTTGGCTCATCATAGCCACTGTTATCTTGGTCACGTTTAACTTTGATTTAACTGTTCACATTTTTTTTTTTTTTTTTTTTTTTGAGACGGAGTCTCGTATTGTCACCCCAGCTGGTGTGTAGTGGTGCAATCTCGGCTCGCTGCAACCTCCACCTCCCGGGTTCAAGAGATTCTCCTGCCTCAGCCTCCCAAGTGGCTGGGATTACAGGCACACGCCACAATGCCTGGCCATTTTTTGTATTTTCAGTAAAGACCCGGTTTCACTATGTTGACCACGCTGTTCTTGAACTCCTGACCTCGTGAATCACCTGCCTCGGCCTCCCAAAGTGCTGGGATTACAGGCTTGAGCCACCGCGCCCGGCCAACTGTTCACATTTTAATTCAACCAAAAAACATTTATAGAGTCTGTTATGTGTAAACCCTATGCTAGTTGATTTCAACCAACATTACCAAACATGTTTGAGTTCCAGTCCCTGTGCTAGGCTTCCAAGATTAGTGATAATTCAGGCCCATTCTTTGCCGTGTCATTCATTAATTCATTCCATATTTATTGAGGGTCTACTATGTTCACGAGTTGGAGATAAAGCAGTGATCAAAACAAACATAAATTTGTTTATTAACCCCCAAAGTGTTTATTGTTAACCCCAAATAAGTTTAGTGAGAAAAATGATCAATGGGGGAGACAATCACACAATTAAGCTCTTCATCCTTATTTCTTCTTTCTTCTTCTTCCCTTTTCCTTCCCTGAACAATTCAATCCAAAATCATGAGGTGGGGCCAAGCAAGGTAGCCTTCCAAGGGAGGAAGGGCTATGAGAGCTAAATGCAACACATGATTCTTGACAGGACATTTTTGCTATAAAAACATGATTGGGCCAGCTGCAATGGCTCACAACTGTAATCCCAGAACTTTGGGAGGCCAAGGTGGGAGGATCACTTGAGCCCAGGAGTCTGAGACCAGCCCTGGCAACATAGTGAGACCTAGTCTCTACAAAAAATTTTTTTAAATTAAGAAAAAAAAAAAAACTGGCTGTGGTGGCATACACCTGTATGTTAGCTCAGAGGTTGTGGTGAGAGGATCACTTGCGCCCGGAAGGTCAAGGCTGCAGTGAGCCCTGTTTGCAACACTGCACTCCAGCCTGGGTGACAGACTGAGACCCTATCTCAAAAAACAAACAAACAACAAACGCTGGGACAATGGTAAACTTAAATGGGATGTGAGGATTACATGGTAGTAATGTACCAGTGTTAATTTCCTGATTCTTTTCTGTTTAATTTTTTTTTTTTTGGTCGCCCAGGCTACAGTGCAATGGCACCATCACAGCTCACTGCAGCCTTTGCCTCCTAGGCTCAAGCAATCCTCCCACCTCAGCCTCCTGAGTAGCTAGGACGACAGGCGTGTGCCACCACACGTGACTAATGATTATTTTTTGTAGAGACAGGGTCTTGTTATGTTGCCCAGCCTGGTCTCAAATTCCTAGAATCAAGGGATAGAACTGCCTCTGCCTCTGCGCCTGGCAATTTGCTGATGGCTGTGTTGTTATTTAGGGAATGTCCTTGTCTGTAGGAAATATTATAGTCTTCAGGGGTGAAAGGGTATCAGGTTGACAGCTTACTCTAAATGGTTCAGGGCAAAAAAAGTTCTTGCAGTATTTCTTTAAGTTTGAGACTGGGTAATTAGAAAAGAGTGACAAGTTGCAGGCTTTAAGATTATTCCTAGGATTCTGGGTGTTGGAGGCGGGTGTGAGGATGTGTGGAAGGAAAAGAGTCCTGAAAGAAGGTGATTTGGAAGACAGAGGGGAGTCAGCCTGAGTTCTTGCCCTTCAATAGCACGCATCTTTGGGCAAAGGGGCCCTCGGCCAGGGTCCATGCTTAAAGGTCCTGCTTTTGCCTTTTTTCTGCTCTGAAAACTCCCCATGCAGAAGAATGGTTGAATCTGCAGTGAAAAAGGGACATGTCTATCAGCTCGGACTCCCTCTTCTATTTCAGTCCAGAATCTCCTGCCCAAAGGCTCTGGGGTTGGTGGGGCTTCTGTTCCATCACCTCAGGGTTGATCGGGCCACATGTGTGCACGCCACAGCGCATTGCAGGGCGCTGTTTGTCGGACTGTGGACAAAGCTTGTACCTAGAACTGGATGTCCACGTGGGTGGGTGGGAGGTCCTAGAGAGGGGCGGCTTTTTGCCAGCGGCCACGTTTAGTTGGGGCTCAAGGAGTTCCTGTTAGAGAATTCTAAATTTGAACTTGGTCTTTCAGGTCTTGGGAAGACGTGTTTGTCACGGTAGGAGAAAGACGACACTCTCTCTAGACTGTGCTGAGCCGGAAGAAGGCTCACAGCAAGCTTAGGCTGAAGCCGTAGGACGCCTCAGGCTCTGGACCTACAAAACCCAGAGTGCAGGCGAGCGCTGAGCTAATCACGTGCCGCGCCTCGGCCACTCGCACGAGTGTGTGGCACCTTGTGGGCGGAGACCGCGCCTCTCCGCGCGGTGGGCGGGGACACGCGGCTCGCGCACTGTGGGCGGTGCCCGGCTGGGGCCACGCCTTTTCCGGCCCGCCGCGCGGCCTAGGCTCCCGCGTGTTTAAAAGCGGGTGTGTGGCTACTGCTGTCTTAACTGCTGTGCTTGGCGGACAGACAGGCGAGATGGCGGCGGAGGTGTTGCCGAGTGCGAGGTGGCAGTATTGTGGGGCGCCCGACGGGAGCCAGAGAGCTGTACTGGGTAAAGACTGCAGAGCTGGAGCAGTGCTCCTCTAACCCTACCCCCTTCCGTCTCGGTATCTCAGCTGTCCCCTCGCACTCCGTTAGGCTTCTCCCCAACGGGGCCAGGACGCCTGTAGTCTCCACCACTCTCCTGGGCTCGGTCGGGGCTGCCCTGTCCGTCTTTCTGTCACTACCGCCCAGCCGGATTGGGACATCCCACTCACCCGCTCCCCAGGGCTGTGTCCAGGACCCTGCTGTCCCCTCACCCACCAGGTCTCCCACCTCCCCCGTTTCCCTCTCTTCACTGGGCAGGGGTTCCTTCTGTCACTTTAGGTGTGGACCAGGCGTCTGCTGTCAGCCTCCTTCCGCGAGACATTCTCCCCTGTCACAGCCCCTCCCCAGGGTTCTCCCACCTCCCTAACCCCTCTTCTCAGCTGGCCCCGGATCTCCTCTAGTTCCCTTTGGGTCAGGACCCAAGCTTCCTTGCCATCCCCATTCTGACACTCCCTCCCTCCCAGTGACAGTCTAGTCCCACCGTACATTGTGTGGCCTTCTGCTCTCACCTGATTCTTGGGCTGCACTCTTACAGTCCAGTTCTCCAACGGGAAGCTACAGAGTCCGGGCAACATGCGCTTTACCTTGTATGAGAACAAAGATTCCACCAACCCCAGGAAGAGGAATCAACGGATCCTGGTAAGTGAAGCAGTTGCCAGCTGTCTCCACTCTGCGGGGCTCAGAAGGCGCCTGGGAGTGGGTGGTGTGGGAGGGAGTGAGGGGAGAAACAGGAGAGTAGTAGCAAATGGACCTTTGAAGAACTCTGATGCCCAGCAACTTGGGATGTGGGGACAGGCTCCATCTTTCATTCATTTATTCTTTCAACAAGCATTTATGGAACCTCCTCTGTATCCCTGTGCTGCAAGCTTCTAGGAAAACAGCCAAATCAGGCCTAGCCCCACTCGGAGTTCATACTCTAGAACAGGGTTTCTTAACCTCAGGACTATTGACTTTTGGGGCCAATAATTCTTTGCTGTGGGGGCAGCATCCCTAGTCTCTACTCACTGGATGCCAGTAGCACCAGAGTGGATTTCCCTGGATTGAGAACCTCTGCTCTAGAGAGATGAGAACTGGCTGTGAGGGACACTTTTACACAAAGCTCTGAGGCCACGTGCGGAAGAGTACAGGGCAGAGTGAGCTCAGTGGGAGGAGAGGTCTCTGCCAGAATGCCTTCCTTGGGGAGGTCATGTTGGAGCTGAGCCTTGAAGGCTGGAACGAGGGTTTGGCAGTCAAGGTTTGGTGTTCTAAGTGAAAAGGATAGCGAGGACAAATGCAGAGAAGCAGGAAAGCTTGCTTATGATTGGGGAGTCAATCAGCCATGGTCCTGAGAGTATACAAAGAACAGTCATGGGAGAGATGGGCAAAGAAGGTGAAAAAGGGCTTGGACTTTGGGCCAAAGAGAGATTGCTTACAGAATCACTTTGTTGCATGCCTATAAGTGCTAGAAGCCCAGGGCCTCTCTCTCAAGTCTTGTGATAGAATTCCCCCAAGAGCTTTTCATACCATTTAGAAGCTAGCACCATCTGAGGCTTCTCTTCCAAAAGTTGTCTTGCTTCCCCTGCAGGGACACCCCATATTCCCTTAGAGAGAGTGGAGCTGGATCATCTGCCAGAGATGAACTAGTTCTAATCCATTGTGAGTCTGGATTCAAAAGCCTCAGCAAATGTAGAAAAGAGAGATGATGCTTAATACCTTTCAACATTGGTTGTAAATGGAGTTTCTCCTCTCTGCATTTTAGGCAGCTGAAACAGATAGACTTTCCTATGTGGGAAACAATTTTGGTACTGGAGCCCTCAAATGCAACACTTTGTGCAGGTAATGGCAGGGGAAGGGACAGCGGGAAGGGTGATGGGGTTGGGAGTGGTGGCAGCACTGGCACTGCTGTTTCCTGTCTGTTTTAAGGGCAGTAGGAGCCATCTAGAGCGGTTTACTAGGTGATTCCTGTGTTCCTATTAGACATAGAGCCCTTCCCCTCACCTGTAGACATTGCTGGAAAGGAAAGATAACTTGAATTTCCTAAAAACCTCATTTGTAACCTTGTTTGTTTATAGCTGTCTTATTCCAAAAGGCAGCTCTCTCCATTAATTTGGAATGTGTGACTAGTAGGTCAAAGCTTGCGTGAAGTTTACCTGGGAACTAACGACAGGTAAAGAACTTGGTAGTGTTGAAGGCTCTGGGCTGGGAAAGAGAAGCCTGGGATTCCCATCCCTCTGTGCTCCTGTTTGACTGAGTGGCTGGGTAACTCTGCCCATCACTGACCCCTAGTCTGTACAATGAAGATTGTCCAACCTCAACTATATCGCTCTCGGGGGCTGGCATGATGCAGACAGGGCCCTGTGATGGTACCCAACAATGAACTACAAACCAGGCCCTTTCTGAGCCTTACTGGACCATACTCCAATAGAGGTCAGATTGCTGTATAGGTGCTGAGAACTACTAACCCTGCACTCTCCCCTCTCAACGATGCCCTAGTTCCAACTGGTCTCCTTCCTGTTTACTTGATTTTGCCTCCATAAAACTGTTGTGCCATAAATTCTAGTGTAATTCTAGATTCCTACACCCCAAAAGAGTTTTCCATTATAGTACAGCAGCGAGCCCGAATGTGATCAACTACCAGAATCACCTGGTAGCTTTTTTCTTTGTTTTCCAGAACCACCTCATATCCTCCCATCCCATCCCATCCTATCCTTTCCTCTTCCCTCTCTATGCAGAGAATTGCTGTGGGGTAGGGGTAGAGGGAGATTATTGTTACCCATGAGTAGGTGATGCATTTCTCAGGTGTGTGGGCAGAGAGAAGGTTGAGAACTTTTATTTTATTTATTTATTTATTTTTTTGAGACTGAGTCTTGCTCTGTCGCCCAGGCTGGAGTGCAGTGGCCGGATCTCAGCTCACTGCAAGCTCCGCCTCTGGAGTTTATGCCATTCTCCTGCCTCAGCCTCCTGAGTAGCTGGGACTACAGGCGCCCGCCCCCTCACCTGGCTAGTTTTTTGTATTTTTTAGTAGAGATGGGGTTTCACCGTGTTAGCCAGGATGGTCTCGATCTCCTGACCTCGTGATCCGCCCGTCTCGGCCTCCCAAAGTGCTGGGATTACAGGCTTGAGCCACCGCGCCCGGCAAGGTTGAGAACTTTTAAACAGGAAAAAGGGCCAGGCGCGTGACTCACACCTGTAATCCCAGCACTTTGGGAGGCTGATAGGGGCAGGTCACCTGAGGTCAGGAGTTAGACCAGCCTGGCCAACGTGGTGAAACCCCATCTCTATTAAAAATACAAAAATTAGCCAGGCATGGTGGCATGTGCCTGTAATCCCGGCTACCCGACAGGCTGAGACAGGAGAATTGCTTGAACCCGGGAGGTGTTGTGAGGTTGTTGTGAGCCAAGATCACTCCACTCCAACCTGGGCGACAGCAAGACTCTGTCTCAAAAAAAAAAAAAAAAAGGAAACTGTACAAATAATACTTTTGAATAATCCGTTATTACTTGTATTATTCCTTCTTCAGGCATTTTGTGGGAATTTTGAACAAGACCTCTGGCCAAATGGAAGTATACGATGCTGAATTATTCAACATGCAGCCACTGTTTTCAGGTAGGTCCCAGTCATGAAAGCTGTCAGAAACAATGCATAGTTTGGGTTTGCTGGATGAGTTGGCTTGAGTTTTAGATTTACAAAACACATTTTGTAGTTACTTTTATTTATTCTGTTTTTTCTGCTTTGTCTATGTTGAGAAAATGGTTTTATATATGTATACTTTTTTTTTTTTTTGAGATGGAGTCCCACTCTGTCACCCAGGCTAGAGTGCAGTGGTGCAATCTCGGCTCACTACAACCCCCACCTCCCGGATTCAAGCAGTTCTTCTGCCTCAGCCTCCTGAGTAGCTGAGATCACAGGCGCACATCACCACACCTGGCTAATTTTTGTATTTTTAGTAGAGACGGGGTTTCACCATGTTGGCCAGGCTGGTCTCAAACTCTTGACCTCAGGTGATCCATCAGCCTTGGCCTCCCAAAGTGCTGGGATTACAGGCGTGAGCCACTGCACCCAGCCTAGAGTTTTTATTCAGCACACACTTATTGATAACCTAATGTACCAGGCACCAAGCTGGGGCTGTGGATGTGGCAGTAAGCAAGACAGACACAGATCTTGTCCCCATAGTGTTTAGAGACTTGAGATCAGAGGTTCATAAAAGCAAGCTGAGCAGTGATCAGAGCAGAATATTAGAGAACATGTCTGATATAAAATCTTTTCCCTCAAAGAACTGCCTTAATTCTTTTTATTTTTTATTTTTGTAAATTATTTTATTTCTTCCTTGATGATTTCGAGGGTCTATCTTCAAACCAGTACAAATATTTCATACGTAATACCTGGCTGTTTTCTAAACAATCGAATTTGTTGCACAAACAATTTGTTGCACAATAAGCTACCTCACATCTTTCAGCAAGAGGTACATTAAATTTGAATAGTAAAGACATTATATAATGAACTAGGACATAATTAAAATTTGCTTTAAATATTTGGGGGAGAGGACACCACACTTCTGCTCAATAAAGAGAAACATTTTTACAGTCCAGAGGTCTTTTATTTTTTAGACACCTATTATGCCATGAATTCATAGGGGATAGGTTCCAGCAGCTCAGGCTCCTTCCCATTGGTTCTCACAAAGTGTGCTTCTCTGGGTGGAGCAGGCTGGTGCTTCAGTTGAACCCAGGTACCTTTCTCTTTGACTTCTTTCTTTTTCTAATCATCTTTCTTCACGTGTTTCAGGAAGCTTTCTCGCCTCTTAGAGTGCTTAATGTGCTGCACATTAATTCTCTTGGCAAGAATCTTGCCCTTAACTTGTTTGTTTACAACAATGCCAGCAGTGTGCTGGGGAACATTGTAGACTCTTCCAGTTTCGCCATGGTCACACTTGTGGGGCATTCCTTTTTGAACAGTACCCATTCCCTTGACATCTACAATATCACCTTTCTTATAGATTCACATATACATGGCCAAAGGAACAACTCCATGTTTTCTAAAAGGCCTAGAGAACATATATCGGGTTCCTCTCCTCTTTCCCTTTCTGTTCGTCATTTTGATGAATTACTGCAAGATGGTGGTTCTGGCTGAAAGGGATCTTTCTTAATTCTTAACCGTTATAGTTGGGGTAAAGAGGTTTTAGAATTTCTGGTAGACAAAGGAAATTGCTTATTAAGTTGTATAGTAACTTTCATGTTGAGGACAAGTCTCTGCACTAATTTGGGGAAGATCTATTTTTTTCCCCTAATCCAGTGGAAGAATTTACATTGCTTCTCTGCTTTGTCATCTTCAAATGCTCAGGGCTAGAATGAGATCTTCCAAGGGGCTTCTGTTCAAGGGGCTTCTGTTCCTTAAATCTCAGAACTTGAATCTTAGTGATGCCCTTAAATACTGAGAACCATGGCAGGATAGGGTAGTAGACAAGAAAGAATCACTGGGAGCATTGTGAATCTGCCTGATACCTCAGGGGCATTAATTCCAGCTTTATTCCCTCAAAGCAGTTCTTCCATCCCTTTTGAGAATCTGATAAGGACCTGGACCTACTTCTGAGAAACATATGTAATACACAAATACATGGGGTTTTTTTTTTTAATATGGAATTTCATATATAATTTTTTTTTTTTTTTTTTTTTTTGAGACCCAGTCTCACTTTGTCACCCAGGCTGGAGTGCAGTGGTGCAATCTGGGCTTATGGAAGACTCTGCCTCTCGGGTTCAAGCGATTATCCTGCCTCAGCCTCTTGAGTAGCTGGGGTTATAGGTGTGTGCTACCACACTTGGCTAATTTTTGTATTTTTAGTACAGATGGGGTTTCACAATGTTGGCCAGGCTGGTCTCAAACTCCTGGCCTCAAGTGATTCACCCACCTTGGCCTCCCAAAGTGCTGGGATTACAGGTGTGAGCCACCGTGCCCGGCCAAATTTTACACATAATTTTTTTTTTTTTTTTTTTTTAAGACGGAGTCTCGCTCTGTCGCCCAGGCTGGAGTGCAGTGACCGGATCTCAGCTCGGCTAGTTTTTTGTATTTTTTAGTAGAGATGGGGTTTCACCGTGTTAGCCAGGATGGTCTCGATCTCCTGACCTCGTGATCTGCCCGTCTCGGCCTCCCAAAGTGCTGGGATTGCAGGCTTGAGCCACCGTGCCTGGCCCTACACGTAATTTTAAAGGACTCTTGAGTCCTGACACCCATCTGTGAATTTCCTAGGTGTCCCCCTGCTTTGCAAGCATATATAACTATATTTAAGTCATCCTCCAACTGTTCTTGTAAAATCCAAGGAGGCAAGGAAAATTGTAATTTAACATGTTGATTAAACACATTTTTGTTTTTATATGTAAGAAATTAGTAAATATGAGTTTATTCTAGCTAGCACACACACAGAGATAACATTTAAGTCCTTACTGTATGCTAGTCACTGTTCCAAGCACTTTCCTTGCACACACCGACTTTCTGGAGTAAGTACTGTTGTTCTTTTTTTTTTTTTTTTACCAATGATGAAACTGGCACAGAGGTTAGATGACCTTATCGGGGTGATGTCTGAGATAACAGGCAAGGCCACTCCAGAGCTTGTGCTGTTGTCTAGTAGGTTATACTGCCCCTTATTTGAGTACTTTGTAGATGATTAGAGAGCATCGTATAAGTAGCACATACCTCATGTTTATGCCTGCTTTTAGGTCTTTCACCAAGAAAGCAAAATTATTTCCTGGAAAGAGCCAAGGATTGTTTTCTAATCCTGTCTCTACCTGGTGAACTGACGTGGGGCAAGTCATTTCATTTGTGGGCTTTCTGTTTTTTAATTTCTAAAATGAAGGGGTTGGGCCAGATGACCCCTTGATTTGGCTCTCTAATTTATTCTCCAAGTTTTTTTAACTGTGTACTAAAGCTACATATTAAATATTCACAATGTACACTCATGTTAGGCTCAGGGAAGTCCTATAGTAAAGAAATCTATTATTCTTAGAGAGACAAATGAATATTTATTACTATTTGTAGGCCTCCCAATTGACTTTTCTTTCTCTCTGTTTTTGTGTGTTTTGATAGATGTATCAGTTGAGAGTGAACTGGCACTAGACAGTCAGACCAAAACTTACAGAGAAAAGGTGAGTGTGATAGAATTAAGATGTGAGACCTTAAGCAAGTTCCTTCTACACCTTGGGTTTCTCCATCAGTGAAATGAGCTTGTTGAACACAAGGGTCTCCCTGGCTGCTCCCAACTCATTCAGTCTGTTTCTCTGGACAGTTAGTTTGTGCCTGCAGAAGCCTCCTTGGTCCCACAGAGAACAATCCTGCTGCCATCTCGGGCAGCTGAACACAGCTCTGTGCCAGTGTTTGGAGTCGGTTCTCTGGGCTGATACAAGTGTAGCATAATGCTTGTTTTTAGGATTTAGTCCAAGTTTTAGAATATATTGGTTGTAGCCTGAAAATATTCATGTTAAAACAAAGTAAACTTGAGGATTTTCAATGTAGAAGGTCCCTACAAAGGTCATCTCACCCCAAGATGGCAAATTGATTGAGTCTCTGGTGCTATGTGGAGCACTGTATTGAGAAGGGATGTGAGGCTACCTTTTGGCTCAGGGGAAAGAGTCAGTGATCTATTAGCTCTGTCTGTTACGGGTATAGGATGGGAGAATGGTAAATCTATTATCCCTGTCTGTTATGGGTATAGAATGGGAGAATGGTAAGCTGTGTGCTACAGATCAGCCCTAATCCTAGTCAAGTCTTTTTATCTTACTGATGGAGATGCTACTGATTGGCCAATCTGTTAATATCATTTGGTGCTTACAGCAGTCCTGTGAGGTAAATAGGTGCGATTCAGTCTTATTCACAGGTGAGGTAGTGATAGCTCTGGGATGCTGAGAGTGTCCCCATAGTGACACAGCTAGGAGGGGCAGCGCCTACCTGCCCTGTTCCCAGCAACCAGGTTTATCTCTTACACAGATGGATTCTTGTATTGAAGCCTTTGGTACCACCAAACAGAAGCGAGCTCTGAATGCCAGGAGAATGAACAGAGTTGGCAATGAATCTTTGAATCAGGCGGTGGCTAAAGCTGCAGAGACTATCATTGATACGAAGGGTGTGACTGGTAAGAAGTTGGAACTTGGGGTAAGAGTCTGCCCATAATGACAGCTTTCTCTTCTCTTGAGATCTTTTACCTATCCACAGATGGAATGCTGGGATCTAGGGCTGGATTCCTTTCTGCCTCTTGCTGAAGGCCTTCTCAGGGACAGGCTCTGAAAGTAGTAAGAAACATCCGACATGGCCTTGTCTTCTAGTGATCTCACAGTCAAGTACAGGGACAGACATGGAATGGATACGTGCCTGCCGAGGTCATGGCGCTGGGGTTACAGCCTACAGGGCACAGAGGAGGGAGAAGGCCTCAGGTCTCTCCTTGTGAGTTGCAGGGAAGCTTTGGTCAAAAAGGCTGATGTGTTGATGGAAGTGAGCCTCCAGAGGTGGCATTTCACTTTGGGATCGGTGGCTCTGTTTCTGGTATTCAGCCCCTGGAGTATTTAATTGTATTATTTTAAAGAGTATTTATTGTTCAAATTGAACATAAAAGCAAGTTTGTATAAGAGCAGCTTTTCTTTTTACCAGTTTTGGAGATGAGGTCTTGCTGTGTTGCCCAGGCTGATCTTGAACTCTTGGCTTCAAGCAGTCCTTCCTCCTCAGCCTCCCAGGTAGCTAGGATTATAGGCACACACCACTGTGCCCTGGGCAGAGCAGTTTTTCTATTAAGAATGGAATTCTAGTAATTTTTGGAAAATCTTTCCATACCCTATGATTATATAGATTTCAACACTTTCACAAATTTATTTATTTATTTATTGGAGAAGGGTTCTTGCTCTATCACCCAGACTGGAGTGCAATGGTGCAGACATGGCTCACTGCAGCCATAACCTCTTGGGCTCAAGTGATCCTCCTACTTCAGCCTCCCAAGTGGCTGGGACCACACATGTGTGCCACCACACTCAGCTAATTTTTTTAGTTTTAGTTTTTTGGAGAGACCGGGATCTTGCCATGTTGCCTGGGCTGGTCTCAAACTCCTGGGCTCAAACCATCTCCCACCTTCGCCTCCCAAGATGTTGGGGTTACAGGTGTGAGCCACCACACCTGGCCTCATAGTTATTCTTGTAGGACAGTTACAGTGTTATATTCTGAAAGTTTTGTTCCACCTACAATGTGTGGCAAATTTTTCTAGAAGTTAAGCCATTAAAGGCTATTTTGGACGTCCCTCACTTTTAGTTTCTCTCATTTTGTATTACAAATGTTTCTGTATTAGCACAGCTGTCTGTCCCAACTCTATTTTAAGTTACCTGAGGGGAATCTTGCCACCTCCACCTTCTCCAGTGCCTAGCTTGTGTTTGTTCATGAGTGAACATGGCAGTCCTGAAGCAGTCAGCCTGATGGAGAGGCCAAGTCACTTTGGCAGAAGCATTCAGACTTGGGGTTTCTGGACTGTTGGTGGTCTCAAGTGTACAGACTGAAAAGAATGTTGGGGAACTGGAAACAAAGAGGGTGATACGTGGATTGTTTCTTTATTGAAAAGCTCTGGTCAGTGATGCTATCCACAATGACCTGCAAGATGACTCCCTCTACCTTCCTCCCTGCTATGATGATGCAACCAAGCCTGAAGACGTGTATAAATTTGAAGATCGTATCCTTCTTGCAGTAGAAAAGCTGCCTTATTTCACAAGTGGAGATGTTTGCATGTGAGTGCACAGTCAGGTTTTCTGAGGGTGTCTGTGTTCTGTGACATTCACAAGAGCTCCATCCAAACCTTTGCAGTTGCTCAGTGCTCTTGCCAGGAGGTTAACTTGGCTTCCTCACTAGCTGAGGGACCAGCCCCTGGGATTCAAATCCATTCCTCAGCAAAATGCCAAATGCCCACAGCTCAGACCTTTGGGGTCACTCTCCATGGATAGTCAAAATAAGACTTTTGAACCAGTCAAATGCCCAAAGTCTAGGGCAGACCACTTTTGTAAAAGGAAGGGTTGGAACTTAGAATGTCACCACTCAATGAGTCCAGTTAGAAGGAAAATGTCTGCAGTGGCTTTGTGATGAGAAAAGGCAGAAAAGCCTGGGCAGGGAATGGGCTCTGGGCTGGGAGTCTGAGAACTGAGTCACCAAGCTCTGCCCCTATGTGATCTGCCCTGTGTGATCTTCGGCTCTCTGAGCCTCAGTTTACCTGTCTGTGACGTGACGCTGCTATGAGATGATCTAGCTAGTTGGATGTTTCTTTTTTGGTTGGATTATATTCTTGACCTGTAACTAGTTCTTTCCCCTGCTGAGTATGAAGCTCTTCAGAGCCCATCTGAAGCTTTCAGGAACGTCACATCAGAAGAAATACTGAAGATGATTGAGGAGAACAGGTACCCTTACTTAAGCAGATGGGGATTCTGGGGAGTGCTGTTGGGACACAACAGTAGTCAGACACTGTGCAGGTCCTTTGGGTGTCAGTCAGCGAGGAGGTATGTCTCTTCAGCATTTGAACATTAGTGAGCCAGTGTTTTCTTGAATGTTTGGGCTTCCAGGAGCTGTGGGTCACATTCAGGGGAGATGGTTGGTCTCTGAGTGCATGGGACCTGCGACAGGGCAAAGGGTGGTGAGGCCTTCTACTCCGGGGCTGGGAACCAGAGCTGGCCTGTGTCACCCAGTGTCATGCTGATGCTGATTGTCACTGACAGGGCCCAAATGCTGGCCTGGGAATGGGTGCTGTCCAAAGTGATGGTTTCTCTGTGATGATATGGTAGGCGAGCTTTTCTAACATTCAATTTATGTATTTAAAATATTGTATATTTTAAATCAGAGATTATTTCCTTCTCCCTCCCCTTTCCCATTAAAACAGCTTCTTTTAGGATGATGGTGAGATTTTTTTTTGCTTTTGAGTTTTTTCTTTTAATAATTTGATTTTGATGAAGAGTTGTCAATCTGAGGTTTGTTCCTCCAATTTTTGTTTTTAAATTTTGCTTGTCATTGAAATCTAGCACCTTTCCAGTGCCTTGGAATTACTATTATTACCACTTTTTTTTTTCTTTTCTCTTCAAAGATATTTCCAAAAAAGAGCTCATTACTAGTTCATAGTTGTCTTAATGTGATTGTGACTCGGGCCGGTGCAGGAACGAACTCTGAGCAGGGAGTCTGAAAACTGAGTCCCCGAGCTCTGTCCTAATCTTCCCTTCTTGAAACCTCAGTTTTTCTGTCTGTAAAATGAGGCAGCTATGAGATGATCTTGAAGAGCCTTTTTATCTCTGTGAGTCCAGGGTCTTGCTAGCAGAACAGTGCCTGAAAATAATAGTGAGCATTGACTGAGCCTTAACATTATTGCCAAGCACTGTTCTAAGAGCTTTACTGGCATCATCTCTTAATCTAGAAAAAATCCTTAGGAGAAGAGTACCTGTACTATCATTGGCCCCAATTTATAGATGGAGAAACTAGTACCAGATGTCAAGAAACTTGCCTGGCTGAGCGTGGTGGCTTACGCCTGTAATCCCAGCACTTTGGGAGACCGAGGCAGGCGGATCACCTGAGGTCGGGAGTTGAAGACCAACCTGACCGATGTGGAGAAACCCCATCTCTACTAAAAATACAAAATTAGCCAGGCATGGTGGCACATGCCTGTAATCCCAGCTACTCGGGAGGCTGAGGCAGGAGAATTGCTTGAACCCAGGAAATGGAGGTTGCGGTGAGCCAAGATTGTACCATTGCATTCCAGCCTGGGTAACAGAGTGAGACTTAGTCTCAAAAAAAATAAAAAGAAACTTGCCTAAGACATTAAATGGCAGAGAAAGGACTGAAACCCAGGCAGGCTGACTACAGAGTGTATGCTCCTGACTATAAAAACAGGTCAGCAAACTACGGCCCACATGCCAAGTCTGGCCTGCTGCCTGTGAGTAAGTAAAGTATAAATAAAGTTTTATTGGATCACAGCCCTGTTCATTTACTTAAGTAATATCTGTGGCTGCTTTTGCACTGCAATGGCAGAGTCAGGTAGTTGCAACAGAGGTTGTATGGCCTCCAAAGCCTAAAATATTTACTGTCTAGCCCTGTATTGATCCCTGCACTAAACCATGTTCCTCCTGTTACAAGGAGTGTTGAATGTACTGGCCTTCATCAGCTGCTTTTGTTCATTTGTTTTTTTGTTTCTGAGATAGGGTCTCGCTCTGTCACCTAGGCTGGAGTACAGTGGCGCAGACAGCTCACTGGAGCCTTGACCTCCTGGGCTCAGGTGATCCTCCTGCCTCAGGCTCCCGAGTAGCTGGGACCACAGGAGTGCCACCATGCTGGTTAAGTTTTTGTAGAGATGGGGTCTTGCCTTGTTGCCCAGGCTTTCATTAGCTGTTGAGTGTGTCAGGGGTGAGAGGCGCCTGCTGCTCTTGTTGTGAGAGGGAAATAGTTCCTGACAGAGCCCATCTTACCCTGACACAAGCCTGTCTTTCTTTTCCTTGTTTTAGCCATTGCACCTTTGTGATAGAAACGTTGAAGTCTTTGCCATCAGACGTGGAGAGCCGAGACCGCCAGGCCCGATGCATATGGTTTCTGGATACCCTCATCAAATTTCGAGCTCAGAGGGTAGTTAAGCGGAAAAGTAAGTTTATGGTAAACATTTAATTCTAATTGTTTCCAGTCTGTTATTTGTCTATAATTCTTAGATCAGTTCTAATGAGAGAAGAAAATCAATGTGTCTGTCCAAGTCTTTATTGTCAACTGTGAGATTCCTGCTGGTACTGCTGACATGTCGAGGGGACTTGCCAGGCCCCTTTTTCTCTCTGGATCTCCCATTTTCTCATCTGAAAATTGGGGCCACGTTGGATTATATGAGAGTTCAGGGTCCTTCCAGAGCTAACATTTGCTACTTCTATTCTGCATTAGGCAAAGTAGAATATCCAGGTCAAATAAAATGAAAATTTTAAGGGACTGTTAGAACAAACATCAGCTGTGTGTGTGTGTGTGTGTGTGTGTGTGTAGAGAGCGCTTATGAGTTACACATATGTATCTTGAAAGCTTGTGGCAGGTTTGTGTTGTGTCAGCTTATTTCTAACAGGAGAGCGTCAATCTGATGGTGTAACCCAGTATCACCTGTAGCCAGGACGCTTTGTGGGTCACACCCTCATACCTACCCAGAGTTGGAAACCCAGGAGGAGATGTCTGTGGTTTTAGGCACAAGGCGTATTTAGTTGTTGTTACTGTGATTGGGCATCCAATAGTCTATACTCCTGTTTTTCAGTATAGTCATGTGTCACTTAATGATGGGGATATGTTCTGAGAAATGTATCCTTAGGCAATTTTGTCATTGTACAAACATCACAGAGTATATTTGCATAAACCTAGATGGTATAGCCTACTACACACCTAGGCTATATGCTATAAGCTGCTGTTCCTAGGCTGCAAACCTATACAGCATGTTACTATGCTGAATATTATAGGCAATTGTAACACAACGGCATTTGTGTATCTAAATGTATCTAAACAGAAAAGGAATAGTAAAACTATGATATTATAATCTTTTGGGACCGGCTGGGCATGGTGGCTCATGCCTATATCTCAGCACTTTGAGAGGCCAAGGTGAGAGGATCACTTCAGGGCAGGAGTTTGAGACCAGCCTGGGCAACATACCAAGACACTGTCTCTACAAAAAAATAAAAATATTAGCTGGGGTGGTGCACGCCTGTACTCCCAGCTATTTGGGAGGCTGAGGCAGGAGGAGTGTTTGAGCCTAGGAGTTCAAGGTTACAGTGAGCTATGAATGCACCACTGCCTCAGTGACAGCAAGACCCTGTGTCAAACAAAATCTTACGGGACCATTGTCACATATGTGGCCTGTCATTGACCAAAAGAACGTAATGTGGGACATGACTGTATTTGCTTAGTCATGCTTTTTTTTTTTTTTGAGACAGGATCTCGCTCTGTCACCCAGGCTGGGGTGTAGTCCTATGATCTTGACTCAGTACAACCTCCATCTCCATCTCCTGGGTTCAAGCAGTTCTGCCTCAGCCTCCTGAGTAGCTGGGATTACAGGCGGGCGTCACCATGCCCAGCTAATTTTTGTGTTTTTAGTAGAGACGGGGTTTTTCAATGTTGGCCAGGCTGGTCTCGAACTCCTGACCTCAGGTGATCCACCCTCCTTGGGCTCCCACAGTGCTGGCTGGGATTACAGGTGTGAGCTACCGCACTCAGCTTGTATTTGCTTAGTTCTTTTTTTTTTTAGACGGAGTCTCGCTCTGTCACCCAAGCTGGAGTACAGTGGCTCGATCTCGGCTCCCTGCATCCTCCACCTCCTGGGTTCAAGGGATTCTCCTGCCTCAGCCTCCCAAGTAGCTGGGGTTATAGGTGCCTGCCACCACACCTGGCTAATTTTTGTGTTTTTAGTAGAGACGGGGTTTCACCATGTTGGTCAGGCTGGTCTTGAACTCCTAACCTCATGATCTGCCCGCCTTGGCCTCCCAAAGTGCTGGGATTACAGGTGTGAGCCACCATGCCCAGCCAGTTTTTTTTTGTTTCGTTTCGTTTTGTTTTGTTTTGAGATGGAGTCTCACTCTATCGCCCAGGCTAGAGTGCAGTGGCGCAATCTCGTCTCACTGCAACCTCTGCCTCCCGGGTTCAAGCTGTTGTTCTGCCTCAGCCTCCCGAGTAGCTGGGATTACACCATACTCAGCTAATTTTTGTATTTTTAGTGGAGGTGGGGTTTCACTGTGTTGGCCAGGCTGGTCTTGGACTCCTGACCTCAGGTGTTCTGCCTGCCGTGGTCTCCCAAAGTGTTGGGATTACAGGTGTGAGCCACTGCTTCTGGCCACTTAGTTCTTATTTTCACATTCCAATTCCAGCTTTCCCCGTCTCTCCCTGAGCTTTCAGCACAATTTTTGTTTTCTAAGGTCATGTTAAATCTGCGTCCTTAGGCCTCCGGCTGTGTTTTCTTGTCACTGCCCCATCACCAGCATCTCTTGTGCAGGACAAGCTGCAGGCTGAAGCACACCAAGCATGTTTTCATTTCGATGTGGCCGTTCTGCTTTGTGGGCCCTGCTTCTCTTACCACCTGGTTCTGGTCATTACAGTGGCTCAGCTCCTGGCTTTTCTCTCAACTCATGGTGGAGGTGTGGCCTGAGGGTTTTGAGAGAAAATGATCAAACTCAACTTTGTGTTGTAGGTGCCCTGGGACCTGGAGTTCCCCACATCATCAACACCAAACTGCTGAAGCACTTTACCTGCTTGACGTACAACAATGGCAGGTCAGGGGGTGGTTTCTGGGACTTTTCCTGTGCAGGAGAAAGTGGGTGAGGGTTGGGAGTGAGCAGCAGGGGCTTGGACTCAATTCCACGTCCACAGAGATGCAGTGCTGAAGAGACTGCTGCCATTTGGAAGGCTCCTGGGGCCCCAGTAAGTTTAGCAAACGCTAAATATAACATACTCTGTCCTTTTTGGAAAAGTATTACTTTTGGGGAATCTTAGAAGCTCTGGGAAGTCCTCCAATAAAGACTTGTTTTACTTCACATACTTTTGAAGAGCCCTTCCTGATGTCCCACAGAGCTGGTGTTTGCGGAAAGGCAGTGTTGCAGAAAAGGGCAGCCCAACTCGGTGACTCAGGAAAGACCCGCAAGCGTTGCCCCGGGCTTCCTTCCTGCCATTTGCCTGGAGTATGTTTTCTGCTCTAGAGTGTGCTTGGGAGAATCAGCACAGCTGATTTCGGGATGATTGTTTTCCCAGCAGCCCTGCTGAGCAGGCGGGGACAGACTCAGCGCTAGCGGTGTCCAGGGAGAGTGTAGGCCCAGCCTTCTCTGTCTACCTCAGAGGGAAACATGGACTGGCCCACTGCTCCACTGTGCGTGAGGCCCAGGAACCTTGGAAGGGCAAAGAAGTCACCCACATTCCTTTTCCTTTCCTGAAGTTGGGAAGACATTCAGTGCATATGAGAATAGGGTTGGATGTTCTTATTTTGCTTTTGGAGAAATTGAGAGTTTAATTTTGTTTCTCCTTTATTGCCACTGATTTTCTAGATTACGGAACTTAATTTCGGATTCTATGAAGGCGAAGATTACTGCATATGTGATCATACTTGCCTTGCACATACATGACTTCCAAATTGACCTGACAATGTTACAGGGGGACTTGAAGCTCAGTGAGAAAAGGTGAGCACAACAGAATAAAGAGCTCCCTGCAGGGTGCCTTGATGTCTTATTTCTGGTACCACTGGAAAGCATGAGGCACCACCAAGGGAACTGAGGATGTTTAAATGTGGGAACAACTTGGAACTAGAGGACTATTTTCAGTGAATGAATCATTGACTGAATGAGTAACTAGACATTACTGAGTGCCTTCTCTGTGCTAGGCACGGTCTTAAATTATGTCATTATCTCACTGATTTCCCTAGAAAACAATTGAAAAATCAGGCTCAGAAAAGTACATGACTTTCTCAAGGTTACACAACCAAGAGGGGAGTAGTTGGCCTTGAGACCTGAGCCTTTCCATAACATTCTGTTCCTGAATAACCAGGCAGCCTCCATTCTCTGAATTGCTGTCACAGGGGAGGGGGATTCTGTATGGGTCTGAGGGGTGCAGCCCAGGGTGGAAGTTGTAGGACAACCCAATTTGAGCTTAGTAAGAAGAGCTTCCTCACAATCAGATGGAAGGGTTTGCCAGGGGAGGTGTTCAAGGCCAGGTGGAACCTCCGTTTGGCAGGGATGTCATGTTTGCACTTCTCTGACCAGACTGGGAGAGCTGGTGGTGGAGGTGACCTTTTCGGCTCTGGCTGGCCTTGTAGAGGAGATTCAGACAGTAGGGGCAGAGCTGCCCAGGAACCGTGGGGTCAGCTGATCTTTGTCAGTGATTTAGGGGCATCTGACATCCGGGAACCCAGAGGGTGTCTAGGAGAGCCTGTGAACACACCTCTGTCTGGACTCTGTAGCAGTCCATGGAGGGACTGTTCTGAGGGCTGTCCACAAACTGTACCGATAGGCAGTGAGGCTGAAAAAAGAGAACAGGTACTTGGAACCTGTCAGATTCTACCAAGTGCTCAATCCTGGTTGCTAAAAGTTTGGTTATGGGAGGTAAAAAAAAACTTGCTCACAGGGCTCTGGATACCCTGGTTTTTCATCACCCATATGGATCTTTTTGAAGGGCAGCACATTAAAATGAAATTGGCTGATGGTTCCCAGTGGGTGAGGGGACCTTGCCTGCCTCTCTGCCAGGGGCTTTGTGCCTGCTGGCAACCTTTGGGATTCTGTCTTTATGGCCTGGAGCATGAATGTGTGCTACCTTTGGCCAGAGCCCCCTGAACAGTCACATTGAGGGGTCTCTCCAGTTGTTCTGTTTGTGTCTTCCTTAGGATGATGGAGATAGCCAAAGCCATGAGGCTGAAGATCTCCAAAAGAAGGGTGTCTGTGGCCGCCGGCAGTGAAGAAGATCACAAACTGGGCACCCTGTCCCTCCCACTGCCTCCAGCCCAGACCTCAGACCGCCTGGCAAAGCGGAGGAAGATTACCTAGATGCATACTTTCCAGACAGGGCATTTTGGCTGCATCATAGCCACTGGCTGGTCCTATTCATTTCCATTTTTATGTTTTAAAAAGGAAAGGTGCAGGGATGGTGGCTCACACCTGAAATCCCAGCACTTTGGGAGGCCGAGGCGGGAAGATCACTTGAGCTCAGGAGTTTGAAACCAGTCTGGGCAACATAGGGAGACCCCATCCGTGGGGGGTGGGGGTGGGGGAATGTCAGGCCTAGTAGTATGTGCCTGTAATCCCAGCTACTCAGGAGGCTGAGGCAGGATGATTACTTGAGCTTGGGAAATCAAGGTTGCAGTGAGCTATGATTGCGTGGCCACACTCCAGCCTGGGTCACAGAGTGAGACCTTGTCTCAAAAAAGTAAAATAAGGAAAAAAGAAGCCTTGCTTTGGCACAGGTATGAAGCCAGAAGCGAGCATCTCAATTGTGCTTGTCTTATGCAGAAATATAAAGTGATGGCCAGGTTGGACTTCATCTCTCTCCTTTGGCATTACTGCTGTGATTATAAATGGCAGATGTTTCTCATGTTGGTTCACCTGTGTGGGGATTTGGGAGGATGGGGCTTGGGGGAAAGATCTCACCAGGCTGAGTCAAACCTAATGGATGAAGGTTTCCAAAGAGAAATGTGAAGTGGTGTTCGTAGGTCTGGAAGGGTCAGTGGAGCACGTGGTAAGGAAGGAGGATCTGGCTCAGCACGCCTGGGAAATGACACTTCAGGCTTTATCAGAAGGTAACTGGGTCACCAGTGTGATGGGGAGCTGCCACAGGCCAGTAGGATACAGCCTGTTGTAATGGGGTGGAGCCAAGTCAGAGGAAGTGGTGACCCATTTCTCTGCCTGGCTGAGGCCACATAGAAGGCAGGGGTCAGCTCTGAAGGCCACACTTTGAAGAGAATGAATCAATCAGTGTTAAGTTCAGAAAATCAGCTGCTCTCGGTATCTTAAGAAGAAAGGATTTTAATGTACGGATAAGGTGCTGTAGAATCGTGAGAAGGGCCAGAAGACCGGGAATTGGAAGGTTGCCATCGGGACTGCTGAATTCAAGAACACACTGCTGGGGCTGCCTTCGGGGACTCAGAAGCCACTTCTGCCCCATAACTGCTCCTGGAATTCGTGAAGCTGAAGATTCACCACTGGGCTGCTGATTTCAGCTACCCATGCTTTCTTCTTTTTCTTTTTATGTTTTTGAAACAGTCTCGCTCTGGAGCCCAGGCTAGAGTGCAGTGGCACGATCTCACTCACTGCTACCTCTGCTCTCCGGGTCCCAGTTCAAGCAGTTCTCCTACCTCAGCCTCCCGAGTAGCTAGGATTACAGGCATGTGCCACCATGCCCAGCTAATTTTTTTGTATTTTTAATAGAGATGGGGTTTCACCATGTTGGCCAGGCTGGTCTTGAACTCCTGACCTTGTGATCCACCTGCCTTGGCCTCCCAACATGCTGCGATTACAGGCCTGAGCCACCGCGCCCAGCCTACCTATGCTTTCAAAGGTCCTGTATTTCTACCACCTTGTCACCAGAGACAGCCAAAAGGTCAAGCAGCTGGCCTCCACCTTGCTTCCTTCTGGTGCGCATATGTAGGAGCCTGATTTGCATGTAGAATCCTAGCAGCAAGGGAGTCTTTGAAATAGGTTTCAGCTCGCCAGCCTCTAGTTACAGGAGGCATTCTGGAAGGACATGAATGGGTTATAACTGCCAACCAATTGTATGTGCCACTGAGGAGATGGAGAAGCTGTGTCCAGAGGGGTGCTATAAGGACCGGAGTGTGACACAGGAAGGCTTAGGTACATGGCCTGAGCCCAGTCTCAGATCTCCAGGGTCCTGCTTCAAGTGGGAGCAGTTGAGATCTGTGACACTCAGCGCCTGGGAGGCCGGGTCAGTGAAGGAAGGGAGACAGAGCTCAGCTCCTGTGAGAGGAGAAGTTTACACAGCACCTGGGGCCCTCCATTTGGGAGTCACGGTGGAAAGGAGTCTTGGCTGAGTTTTGGGGCAGGTGCACCTTTTTTTCTTTGTGCTCTGGGATGCCCTCGGAGCCGTGCTCCTCTGCTTTGTCCCCAACCGCCTCTGGCCCTGGGTAGGAGGCACTTGGAGCATACTTTGTCTTCCTCCAGCAGAGGTGTGGGCAGGGAATCTACTTACCTCTTGTTTTTCTTTAAGCCGTTGTGAAAATCAAGTATGTGACTCTTCCTTGGAAAAAATAATCCCAGAAAAGGACTTGTAATACATCCTCAGGTTGTGATTAATTTTAAAATTCAGATGGGTTTGACACTTTGAGGCTGAATTTCTGGAAATGACTGGACAGAGCATGTGACTGGGACCCTCTGAACAACCTCTGACCTCGTGGAGAAGCAGGTGGTAATGACTGGTGGTATGGATAGGGAAAGACTCGGCGGGCAAATACTTGTCATGTTTGTCAACAGGTGTATCTTGCTAAATGTCGGGGACACATTCCCAGGGCTAAAAAGCAAATTTCTGTATATTAGGACATTGTGAATCCTTAGGAAAGGCTCAGAAGAGGGCTCTACCTAGCACAATACCTGACATAAAAGTGGTCAGTGTCTGCAGAATGAGTCAGACTTTCCTTGGCAGGGTTATTAGGTAGAAAACACTTGCAGAATAATGGAATTGTACTAGGGTTTCTTCTGGCTGTAGAAGCCCATTTGTTTACTAATAGCTTCCCAGAAGATAACTTGATCTCACCAAGCTATTTGCCAGAATGTCTCCTGATGGCCTCCTTGAAGAAAGGGGGACTGTGAGCCAGATGCTGGTGCCCTGAAGATTTGTAATTTGTGGGATAGTCTTAACTTGCAGGGTTCGATTAACAGAATGAAGTCTGTTCCTTGGAGGGAAGTCTCTGCTTGCTGCCCTGACCTGCTGGACACTGTTAATTGGGATGGGGTCTAAGAAGGCATAGTTACCACATTTGCAGGAGACCCTAACCTGGAAATAGTGAATTACATAACATTCTTTCAAGTGTCTTCTCTTTTCAGAAAGTATTTTGGTACAGTTACACAGAGAAAACTTGCAAGAACTCTTGTATATCCTTTACCCAGATTCTCCAACTAGTAATACTTTGTCCCATTTACTATTTGCTTTAGATATTTTGAGATTTCTCTTTGAACTATTTGAGGAAAACATGCTACCCTTTTACCCATAAGTACTTTTCAGTGTATACATCCTGAGAATCAGGACTTTCTCTTCCATAACCACGGTCTACCAGATGCAGGGAATAAGACACTAATACAATACTATGACTTAGCCCACAGTTCATGTTCAAATTTCACCAATCACCATGCCTCTTTGGTCTTGCTCAATCTGAAACAGTTCAGATTTGTATTGGATTTTCTTGGCTTTGACATTTTGGAGAGTGAGGTGTTATTCTGTAGGTTGTCTGTCAGTTGACATTTGGGGCTTCCCTGTGATCGGATCAGGATTTCCATTTTTGGCAGGATAGCACAGAAGTGATGCTTCACCCAAGTGCATCACATTAGGGGCCCAGGATGTGGGGCTGTGCTTTCCTTGCTGCTGTTAACTTGTATTAGTTAAGGTGTTTTCCCCTTTGTGAAGTTACTGTTTTTCCTTTTAGTTCATAAGTAATTTGTGGAGGGATACTTTGAAACTAAGTATCCTGTTCCTCATCAAACTTTCACCTACTAGTTTCAGCCTCAATGGATGATTCTTGCTGAATGCATTCCCAAGATGGTTGCAAAATGGTGATTTTGTAAATTATCATTTCTTCTAATTATTGGCATGCTCTTATAAGGCAGAGCTTGTTTCTCGCCCTTAGAAGTTTTGTGTTCATTTGGTTATCGGCATAGACTCAAGAGTCTTGTGTTCTGTGTGGAGTCTGTTACTGTGATTCCTTGTGATGCCCGGATTGTACGTATTTGGCCAATCTTGAGTTCCTTCAGGAAACCTCCTGGATCCCATCATTTTAAGGGTGCTTCCTTTCTGACATAAGATATTCCAGGCCTACCTTGTACTTTCCCTGCTGCAGCCCTGGAGTCAGTCTTTTGTTTTGGTTTTGATTTTTAGAGACGGGGTCTTGCTCTGTCAGTCAGGCTGGAGAGCAGTGGTGCAGTCAGCTCACTGCACTCCTGGGCTCAAGCCATCCTCCTGCCTCAGCCTCCTGAGTAGCTAGGACTATAGGCATGTACCACCATGCCCAGCTTTGAATCAGTCTTTTATCCAAGGAGCTCTGGCCTTTTAGTGGAGAATAGCAGATGACATGAATGATGGGCCCAAAGCAGGAAGTGAAATGCAATCCTGACTGCCAGACAGATGGAATCTTCAGCTGCACTCAGGCAACAACTGGGCTCAGAGTAGAGGTGACAGCTCCGCGATGGGTAGCTCAGGCTGCACCAGGAGGCCATGCTAGCTTTGACTTCATTTTAAAAGCACACTAACCACAGCTGATAGGCTCAGGAGCTCCATGAAGGGCACCCTGCAGAGGTCTGGAGGGTAGTGAGAAGGTCCCAATGGGGCGAGCATGCCTGTGTCAGGAGGCTGATCAGGGTAGGAATAAGCCCAGCATGCCCCAGTGAGCTCACCATGAGGAAGCATTTGGAGAGAGCTTTCTCTGTGTTGTTGGAAGGGAGATTGAAGAAGGGGAGCCCAGGGGTGCTGTTGACAGTATAGGCTCATGTGCTGTTCCAAGGCCCAACTCTGGCTCTTGCCTGGTCTGGCCATACCACGTCCACCATGTGCTGTACTTAGGACCTCCTTTGGACACCAGGGCAGTGGCCTCACCAAAACCAGGAGGCTTAGATGATGAAATCATACTGGTGTTTGCTGTGCTCGTACATTCCCATCGGCAGACATCAGTGTTGGGGCCTGACTGACCAACAGGTAAGTCCAGGGAGGACACAGTATAAGCTGCTACTGTAGACTGAAAGCAAATGATTCCAAGGAAACACAGTACCTTAGAGAATTCTCTTTAGATCCATGAGTGCTGCCCATGGAGCTGGGCCATTCCTCCTAAGACGCAGGACAGGACTCCTCCATTTTGCCGCTTTGGGCTTTCCAAGACCTACCCAGGCCACTGGAATGAGTCTCGAGAAATGACCAGAGTGGTGAAGAGACACCCTGCAAACTGGCACATATGAGAGGAACCCAGGAGGGCAGCAGACCCCAGGGGGATGAGGGTGCTGCCTGCAAATATCTGAAGAGTTGTCACAGAACAGAGTGAAGAGATGTCCTTTGGGGGCCCCAGGAGGTAGAGATTGTAGGAATGAGGTTGGGTTTGTTTCCTCATTTGTCTGCTTGTCTGTCCCCCCATCCATCCAACACTTAGTGAGCTTTGTGCTGGGCATAGAGAATCAACAGTGAACAAGATGGGCAAAATCCCTGCCCTAAACCAACAGACTGAAAATACAGAGGATTCTGTGCCGTCTGCAGGTGGTGTGTGGCTGAGTGGGCACAGGAGCATGGAGAAGGAGCACTTAACTGATACTTGCAGAGACCGGGGAAGGTGTTACACAGAAGTAGTGACTAAGGAGCTTCTGAAGGAGGGGTAGAATTTAGCCAGGGAGAGAGACTTTGGCTCAAGTAAACAGTTAGATGGGCTGGGTTTTCTTGGGCAGGTCTGACCTGTTGTGCAAAGCACTCTCACTCCCCGATTCTTCCCCAAATGCACAAGAGCCAAGGTGGGTGTTGTTCTTCCCACTTCTGCCTCCAAATGACCTGGAGGGAAATTGTGTCCCAGCTGTTCCCTTCCTTGCCACCTATGCCCCAGGTGATAGCCCTCCCCACACCTCTCCCCTACAAGCTCTTAACATCTGATAGGGAACTTGCCCCTACCAGGTCTCAGGAGCATCAGCACTCCCAGCCTCCAAAATGGGGACAATGACCTCGCCAAGTCAATGTTTAATATATTATTGACAGAACTTAAGATGATTGTAGGTGGCTCAGGAATGTAGCAAAGTACTCGTGTTCTGCTGGTTAGGCTAAGTTGCAGTGACAAATGACCCTCAAATGTCTGGTTTCAACAGAAGTTCATTTGCACATGTCTGTCAGCCAGCAGGCAACTGGGGCCCTGCTCTGGCTTAGCTTCACCCCGGGACTCAGGCTGCCATGTCTGACACATGGCGGTCTAATGGCAGAGGGACACGCGATCGGGGCAAGTTCTGATGGCCCTTAAACTTCTGCCTGGAAGTGACCATTAACCACTTCTGCCCACATTCACTGGGCAAATCAGGTTACATGGCAACATGATAGGGCATGTTACTCTCCCTGAGGGGCAGCAAATATTAGTAACTACCAAAACAAGTGAATATTTTCATTTTAATAGTTTAATGTATATTTATATAAAAAGTCTTTTCAGTGTGTGAAAAAAAGACATGTTGTAGGATGGGATCCTGGAATGGAAAAAGGACATAAGGTAACAAACTAAAGAAATCTAAGGCCAGGCACAGTGGCTCATGCTTGTAATCCCAGCACTTTGGGGCATTAAGGCAGGCGGATCACTTGAGCCCAGGAATTTGAGACTGGGCTGGGCAACATGGCAAAACCCCATCTCTACAAAAAAATACAAAAATTAGCCAGGTGTGGTGGCGCATGCCTGTAGTCCCAGCTCCTCAGGAGGCTGAGGTGGGAGGATCACCTGAGTGAGCCTGGGGAGGTCAAGGCTGCGGTGAACCATGATCACGCCACTGCACTCCAGCCTGGGCAACAGAGTGAGATCCCATTTCAAAAAGAAATCTGAATAAACTATGGACTTTAGTTAGTAATGTACCAGTACTAGTTTATGAATTTTTACAAATGTACACTGATAGCATAAGATGTTAATAACATGGAAACCTGGGGGTGGCAAGGGTAGTATGGGAACTCTGTCGTAACCATCGATCTGCTCAATTTTTCTGCATATTTAAAAGTTCTAAAAATTAAGTAGATTTAAAGGAAAAAGTACTAACTTCTCAGGTGACATATGGATATAGCAAAAATTCTAAGATTCTAAGTGAAGTTGGAGAAGTGTGCTCCCGGGTCTGAGGTCCCTAAGCTGACGGTCCAGTGATCCACGGGGACAGCCTGTTTCTGTTGTCTTCACAGAGCCCACTGGGCAAGCAGGCAGGAGTGGAATTATAGCCCGATCGAGCCCCCCAGCTCTCTATCAGGAGCTGTCACAGGAACCAGCGGACCCAACAACATAGCCCCAGGACTCTCCTGTCTCCTCCAGAGGAAACAGTGCTGGACCTGGCCGTCTGGGAGCCCCAGGGTATGCCCAGACCAAGGAAAGGCTTCCCAAAGTGCCTCTTTTAAAATATAGAACTTTATTTTGGTTACTGAGGTTTTTGTTACTGTTGGTTCACAGAAAAGTCATTTCTTAGAAAATAGTAAAGGCAGCATTTTCTACAGCGACTCACATTGGGGCCACCAAACAAGTGCAAAGGAAGCGCCAGGGATAGAAGAGGCCAGCACTCTTGTGCCCAGTGTTCTCAGGGAGAACCCAGTGCTCCTGGCTCCCTCTCCCCTCTCCCATCCCACCCAACAGAGCAGCACCTAGGGCCAATAGAACCAGCCATGCAGCCATGTGCACGACAGTGACCCCAGCAGGCTGGTGAAGGCC